CTCGTCGGAAGTTTCAGAGATGTCGTTGGAGTTGCTAACGAAGTACGTCGGAAAATGCAAAAAAAGAGAATGCAAGAGTTCTTGAGAGCAATATGGAATTTTTGCGAAAGTACAAGCTTGGAAATGAAGAGAATGAGCCTTTTATAGGCGTTTCGAATTCGCCCCAGCTGTTAGATCATCTAAATCACATCTAGACTGTCCAAAGAGAGCACATGGATCTCCATCAAGCTCAAGGGTCATTTGAATTAACGACCATGATGAAGCGGTGAGCTACACGCGCGACCCAAACACGTCGCCTTGAGGAACGAACGTCGTCGTCATCATTACCATTTATGGCAATGGAGGCTTGTCTTGGAAGCAAGCAAGCGCCCCCCCATGATTACCTTGGGAAGATGCAAAAGCTTTCAAATCATTGACACAAAATCCAAGACTATCCCTCCAGAGCCCATCACTTTGCTCGCCTGCCACTTCGACCACGACAGCTTCGCGTTGCAACAACTCTCCACAGAGTTGCCAACCCATATCACTTTGGCCAGAGCAGAGCCCAATGTTGCAACAACTCCCCCTAGAGTTGCCAACTCATATCGCTTCGGCCACAACAGCTTCACGTTACAACACCTTCCCCTAGAGTTGCCAACTCCTATCGCTTCAGCCACAACAACTTTGCATTGCAACAGCTCTCCACAACCTCACTCCCAGGAGCGCTAACAGATTGTTCGCTCGCCATCCTAAGGATTTTCAAAGTTTTGGTAAAATCTAAAGAAAGAGATGAAAAAACTGAAAATGGAGAATGTTACCTAAACTTGTGGAAGAGTACCCTGAGCTCATTGGAAGTTTCAGAGATGTCGCTGGAGTTGCTAACGAAGTACGTCCGAAAATGCAAAAAAAGAGAATGCAAGAGTTCTTGAGAGCAATATGGAATTTTCGCGAAAGTACAAGCTTGGAAATGAAGAGAATGAGCCTTTTATAGGCGTTTCGAATTTGCCCAGCCGTTAGATCATCTAAATCACATCTAGACCGTCCAAAGAGAGAGCACATGGATCTCCATCAAGCTCAAGGGTCATTTGAGTTAACGACCATGATGAAGCGGTGAGCTACACGCGCGACCCAAACACGTCGCCTTGAGGAACGAACGTCGTCGTCATCATTACCATTTATGGCAATGGAGGCTTGTCTTGGAAGCAAGCAAGCGCCCCCCATGATTATCTTGGGAAGATGCAAAAGCCTTCAAATCATTGACACAAAATCCAAGACTATCCCTCCAGAGCCCATCACTCTGCTCGCCTGCCACTTCGACTACGACAACTTCGCGTTGCAACAGCTCTCCACAGAGTTGCCAACCCATATCACTTCGGCCAGAGCAGAGCCCAATGTTGCAACAACTCCCCCTAGAGTTGCCAATTCATATCGCTTTCTACCACAACAGCTTCACGTTTCAACAACTTCCCCTAGAGTTGCCAACTCCTATCGCTTCAGCCACAACAGCTTTGCATTGCAACAGCTCTCCACAGAGTTGCCAACCCATACCACTTCGGCCAGAGCAGAGCCCGATATTGCAACAACTCCCCCTAGAGTTACCAACTCATATCGCTTCGGCCACAACAGTTTCGCGTTGCAACAGCTCTCTACAGAGTTGCCAACCCATATCACTTCAGTCAGAGCAGACTTCAATGTTGCACCAACTCCCTACAGAATCCCCGCTGAACCTATAGAACTGATAGTCCTTGTACTATATAAATATCCATACATGGACTTGTTGGACTATTGTTATGGGTCTGCGCCAGACCCGCCCCCTCACCCTCCACGTGTCATCAGAGGTGACCCACACCAGCCATGAGTCGGACGAGGTGATTGTTCATGGGATGAGCTGACTACATATGCCGAAGTGATCTCAACGGAACGAACTGAAAACGAACCGGACTCATCCGCAAACATATCACGGATGCAAAGGCCCGCACTCCGCTTCTACAATGCCGCAACGCCTCGCCCCCCTCGCCACGCCTCATCAAAGATCCCTTGCACAAAGATCTTTCCAAAGTCAAACCACTGACTGATGGGACGTGTAGCAGGACTTAAACGGTCAAATCAACTGCTCCTGCCAGAAACATTCAATGCTAGTCAACCTACGGAGGGACGGATGGACACCTAGGATGGGACGAGCCCTGAAGATCTGGCAACACGTGTCTCCTCATCCAACGGCTCTCCTCTTCCCATCATTGGTATAAATACCCCCACCTTGCGTCTGAAGAAGGATTGAAATCCAACACACTCGAAACTACCACCACATTGTGAAATTAAGTATTCTCCTCCCTTAAATATTAGTACCTTTCGTATATGTGAAACAGTTGGTCTTCCTGACGAGTATCCCACCACTGGTGAACCTTTCGACGTGTCATGTGTGCAGGAAGAGCTGACTTGAAGACATTTTCTGTTGGCCACGTGTCGGAGCCATTTTTCAAGGTCAACAAAGCTATTTGTCCATATGAATTGTCTAGGACAATTTAAAGGTCATATGCCATCATCACTTTATTGACTGTTTTAGCTTTGATTTTTGTCCAAACTTTAATGAAATGTTGTCATCTGACATTCTATATTTCTATCTGACGAGTCTTTCTGTACATGTAGCATTGTCGTTGTGGAAATATGGTGCAAGGGGCGAATAATCTTTCGAAGAAAGTACACTATAAAACGTCTTGAAACACTTGTCTAATTTTCTCGATTGACAGTTTTTCCAACGTAACTATGCTTCACCCAGTTTTTAGAAAACTTGATGCAACAATACACGTAAATTATTGCAATAAAATTCGTGCCAACGGAGTTAGTCCATAATGGATCCCAGCACGTGCAATCAATCTGTCTGATCCCTAGAGCATTAAACACAAGGATTTGATATTAATTAATTTTGTAATTTGTGTTATTGTATGCCTTTTGGTAGTTGAGAAAAGAGAAAGGAAAAAAAAAAGAAATGATGAAATTGTAACAAAATCAAGAATATCTCATACAGTGCAATGCCAAATAAATAGTGTGGCCTTAGAAGTTGGCCGGCTGTACCCAGACTCACACAGTATTTCTTGTTTGGTTATTACAAGTTGCTTTTGAGATGTTATCAATGTAACGTCAAATCAAGTATCCGAATATATGCACATATTTATCTCTATCGGAAAAAGGCCGTAGTTACAAACCCATATATTGTATAAAAATCAAAATAAGGGCAATAAACATATAAAATTGACATGCTGGTGTATTTATATATGGAGATTTACTTTATATTTGCCATTTTTATACTAATTGGAACCCATGCTGTGCTGTGGGCTGCCCGAACAATGATTCGAAACAAATCGAAAATTATAACATTATTTTTTTTTTTTACTATACAATATTTGGTTCTTCTACTGTTGTCTTGAATGAGAGAGAATTTTATTCATAACAAAAATGACTTTATTTTGCTCTTAACTTTTTGTCCGCACCATTAGTCCAGCTATTGATCTTGTTGTAAAATCCTCTCCATCTTTCTCAATCTAAGTTTGTAGCATCTTTGATCCTTAGTGGACGGAATGAAAGTAATATTATAAAAAATAATGTTATATAGTATTAGTGGTGTTACAACACCAGTCTAAATGGTGTCATGCGAAAGACTCAATGAAATGTGAGATTAAATGACTCATTTAATTGTACTATCATGTAATGTCAGCTAGACTAATATTTTAATACCAATGGTGCTAAAAAATATTAGGACATGTTTGATTACAAATTTTTCCATGGAAAATGTCACATTCGAGGAAAACGAATTCCACTTTAACTGTTTGATTGCAACATGAAAATGAATACAGAATTTCAAGGTAGAACCACTTTAAACTGCATTTTTTTTGTTTTCATAAAAAACGAATTCCTATAGGTTGGTGGGTTTTTTATTTTCCAACAACATGTAATTGAAATTCTTTTCAACATTTACCTATCAAACGAACCTTTACTCTTTTATAAAATAGAAGGGTTGAAAATCTTGATTTTCAATAAGGAATCAGAGTTCAAAATGCCAAACACGCTATTTAATTTGTGTTGTTCAAACAAACGAAGAGATGTCAAAATTGGTATTCTCCAAGCAAGCTTCTATTTTATCGAGACATGTTAAGGATATTAATCTCTCCAAAATGAAAATAATTCTCAACTTAAAAGACATGAACTACTCATCTTATGAAGACTAAAAATTTTAACTTCAAGATTCAATATTAACGACACTACAAAACTAAAGAATAATGCTATCATAAAAACAGGTTGAAAACGAAGAGCATGTTTGGCAAAGGTTTTATAAAATTATTAGTTGTGTCTCTTATAACGTGTGAATAATAAGGGAATAAAAGTTATAGAATAAATAAAATTTAATCAACTTAAGAAACTTGGCCAATCACGTATGAAGTCAAGTCAAATTAGAAATTGGAGTAATTTTCCAAGTCGCTGTCGGATGGAATGTCATGTCAGAAAGAGAGTGGAGGCTGTATCCAGTGTCTGAAGACCGTCACGTTGGACCTCCTTTTCCTAGAAAATACATGCTCACGAGATAATTTAAGAGACAGAGAGCAAATAAAGCCTAGCATTAATCAATTTTGGAGATAATTGAGAGACATAACTCGACTTGACGTGACGTTTAAAAACGCCTAGCATGTTTAGCTACACTTCTAGAATATTAATGCTCTCAAATGATAATATAATCAATAATATGATTTGTATTTGGTCACACTTTTCGAACTTGTATATAAACATTTTCTTTATTAATAAGGATCGATAATTGTTACAATTGATCAATAAAAGAAAACTTAACTTTCAAAGTAAAAAATAAGTGGTGAAATAACACGTGGGTACAATATTTAAACATTTCTGTATATCAGAAATGATCTAATGAGCACCGGTGCTCATNAATTGATCAATAAAAGAAAACTTAAACTTTCAAAGTAAAAAATAAGTGGTGAAATAACACGTGGGTACAATATTTAAACATATATATATTAAACTGCTTTTGGGATGTGAGTTCGATTATATGATTTTTCAAAAAGCCCCAGCCTATTTTCTCCCAACCTCGATTTGTAAGCTAATTTCTTATACTCTGACCATGTAAACTCCTCGTACAATTTTTTTTCTCCATCTTCCATTAGTGACGATAAAGCCGTAATCTTTTCACTCAAAGGTGGCCCTCCAAAATATACCATAGACACTCTTGATTTTAATCTATGAGCCAATACTCTATGCTTCACGCTCGTGAACCTGCCATTGGTGATTACCTACACCAAAACCAATACCCCAATAATCTTGTCAGAATTTCGAAATCAGAAACATAAGTTAAAATCTTGTTTATTATAGAGTACTCAAAGAGTACTGCATATGATCATAAAGCATAAAATGGTTACCTGCAAGGAATCACCGACGTTGAAGAAAAAGGAGGAGTGTTCAGGTGGGACAGAGACCCAAGTACCATCTTTAAGACATATTTGGAGGCCTGATGTGTTGTTAGATCTTATGACAGATAATATTTGTGGGTCTGTATGTTCTCCAAAGCCTATCAAAATTCGACCACTCAATGATTGAAGCTCTGGGCATGGTGGATAGTGGTTTACCCTAAAACAAGAATCGCTTTTCTCATCCTTTATCAGCCTACTCAAAACGTCCTTTGGCCCTATTTTCAGTCCATCAGTTATCATTTCCAAAACTTCACACATCATGTTCCTCATTGCTGAAACATAATCATTCACAAGAGACCTAGATTCACAAACAAGAAAAGAAAATAATATTAGCTTGAAGTTCAGTCTAGTCAAATTCTGTATAAACTTTTGGTCATGCTACATGTACATGGATTTTTGCCAGAGACTTCAACAGATTGGCAGCTAGCACAATTTCATTGGATGTTGGACAGAAAAACAACTTCAAACCAATCAATCCATGTTGCCAACTCATCATTTGTAAAAATCCCTGTACATTTCGTCCATACAAACAGCTTAATTTATGAACTTTTAACCATTTTCTCCATGCAAAATCTTACCATAAAATTTCTGAAATTCCTGGAAGAATGACTTGAGCATTCCCTTTCCCGATTTCTGGCCAAGCTCCAAAGAGAAGATACTCAAGCCAACCCACATCACCATTTGGGCCAATTTTCTTGTTACCATAACCAAAAGGGTTAGGAGGGCCAGATTTTTCTTTATCTGGCTGGGGTAAATTGAAAAACTTGACAGCTTCAGATTCCAATTTGGCCATAATCTCCAATGAAACACCGTGGTTAATCACTTTGAAGAATCCAAATTCTTTGCAGGCCTCAACAATCTTAGTTTTTGCATCAGGGTCTAAAAAATCCACGACGGGAATTGTAGTGAAATTTCTTGATGTGGATTTGCATGGTTTGATGTGATTGGAATTGTCAAGAACATTAACTGGCTGAGATAGAACCTTCATTGCTGTTTCAAGAAAAATAGAGAGAAAGAGCAAAGAAAATTGTTGTAAATTAAATGGACAAAATGGTCATGCACAAAGAGAGAAGCGTTGCAAACTATAGATGGATATAAGGCTTAAGTGTGACACATGGCCAATTTATACTATCGAGGGGGTAATTTTCTTGTCCAAGAAAGTAACGATTATAACTAAAATGAAAAAAGAAGGTAAAAAAAGCTTCCACTTAAATATAGTCATCTTTTATTTAAATAAAGACAAATTGCCAAACAAGGCACAATTTCGTCACAACGGATTAATTTTTTCCAAGTTATGAAGTTACTATTTGGTTTAGCTACAAAAATTGATAAAAAAATTTAAGTCAAAGTAAACAATTAATTTTAACCACGTATTTAATGGGATTTACGACTTTTATCAACTTTTCAACTACACATTTCATCAACTTTTATCAAAATCAACTAAAAACTGGTTTTATAGAAAAAATTAAACAATGTACGAGTAACTCTACAATGTTGAACAATATTATAAGATAAATAAATACTATCTATTAATCTGTAGTACCAAACATATCTTATACGTCATGTAATTTAGTTTTATAAATAATATATTCTCCACAAATTATATTAAAGAAAAGCAAGGAAGTAGTTATTAATATGAGTTCATTTCTAATTCAATAATTCAATTGCATAAATATATACCCCATAATCAAATTATAATTCCAGAATTTATATAGTTAGCAATTTCACTATAATGAGATTTTATCATTTCTACATAGTGGACATATCTTAGAATATGACAGAACATCATTTTAAAAGTTGTCTCCATCCAAACCCAATTTATCCATCCTTATTCTAAGTAGACCATATTGAGACACATCTTTCATGAGAACATTAAAATAAAAAGATTTGACAAAAATAATTTATGAACAACATTTACTCTATCATTATACTTAAGAGGGTGTTTGATGGAGATTAAAATTAGATTTTTAGTAAATTGTGATATAAATTTTTGAAATGTGTGGTTACAAAGTTGTGAGATCCGTAAAAGATATGGTTAATATTGATTGTTTGACTTTGATTTGGATTAAAATCAAATTTTAATCCGAACCAAACATGGGCTTAATATAGAAAGATTAACATCATTGCAAAATTTATAGCTGAAGGATAATTCATAATTGTTTTTATTGTAAATGAAAATCATCTTCAGAAATATTATTTAATACGAAGATAAATCTATCATAGGCTTGAAATCATTTTCGCACATTGCTGAGAATGCAATTTTTTGCCTTTTTGATTTTGTTTGCCCGGGAAATTCCCACATTTCATTGGCGATCTTGTAACTGTTGATAAATCTAATTGAAGAGACGTTTTTGCTTTCAAAGAAAAACGAAAAAGCATATCATATAATAAAGAACTATGCTGGATGTACAGAAAGGATTGCACCAGAAATTCACCAGAATACACACATTTGGTGGGTCCTGCACATTTTTTATTTTTTTAATCACATGGTGGGTCCCAAGCATCTCTCTGTTCTGGCAATATTTTGGCCTTCTGTACACTGGGGGAAAATCCTATAATAAATGATATAAATTCTTTATTTTTTATTAGAAAATAGAACTTGACTTTTTATCAACTCAGTCTAAATAAAAGTGTTCCCATCGACTTCTCCCACAAACAAGAAAGTAGTTTCCTGAATTGCCACTAGAAATAAAATTCCTCCTTACTTCTCTAGCACCAACCACGCCATTGGACTTTGAATATGAATGAGTTGGGGTCCCGTCCCTATAATCATATTGCCCGAGGGGAAGAATAAAATTTGTAATACAAATATGTTTTGGTAGTTAAATTTTTTATTAATCTCATTTATTTTAGTACACCGCCCCAATCATAGGTACCATAAAGTACGGGAAATAATAGTTGAATACAAAAACAATAAGGATCCGTTTGATTACAGGAATGAAATTTGGATAGAAATAAAATGAATTTAAGGGAATTGAATTGCGTAAAACTTGTTTTATTGAGAATTGTCAATTAATTGTGTTTGATTGTTATAGTTTTTCACCAAGAAAATATTGAAATTTTGGATCTTTTGGTATTCGTTTTACTTTGTTTTTCATGAAAATTGTCTATTAAAGGGATATAATTTGTTTCCATTGCCAAAATAAATAAATAAATAAAATTAAATAAAAGTTGCCTAGAAAAACTTTGTGGGTGAAAGATGGAAAACCAATTCCATAAAAAAATTAGATAATCAAACGTGCAAAAAGACGGAAAATAGAATTTAATTTTCATCTTCCATAAAATTGAAGTACAATCAAACAGGGCCTAATTAACATATTCTAAGCAAACATAATATTTTCAAGATACAAACTTCAAGACTTGGTATAAGAACTCAAAAGTTTTAAATGAGCGATTCGTAACATCTAAAAACACATTTAGGTACAACCGAAGGTCGAACACAAGCAATGGAACTAGGAACTATGGCTGGCCGGAAGTGGAGGCTGGTAGCCTACGTGTTTGGAAAGACTTGAAGTTGTTCGGAATACTCTGGAACATTGCAGGAAAATGTTGAAGCCCTAGTGTAGAAAACTGCTAATAGGATTTTAGAATGAATAATGCTAAGTGTATATAATCTTTTACACAATTTTTTACACCCACCTCACATGGAGGGGGGCCCACACATAATAAAATAATCGTGGACCCCCCTCCATATGAGAGATGTGTAAAAGATTGTATAAAAGTGTGTGTGTACATATAGCATTACCCTTTTAGAATAATCTTATGTTGTAGAGAGTCCTAGAGAGTCCATTTGAATCGAGGTTGTAGTGTAAATAGATAGTAGGATTATAGCTGGAATAATTTCTCTATTTGGTCGTGGTTATTATTATTATTATTATTTTCAATTAAGCCAAAAAGTTGCACATGTATATTTGCTTATAAGCCCCAAAAACCATCCATATATAATTTACTAAAAATGTAGATGGCCTATTTTTAAGCCAATATTTAGAAAAGCGAGATAAACGATAATCACGATGCTCCATACTTTTTGTAGCTTATTTTTAACTTCGATAAAAAATTTACCATTTTATTCTAATTTTTTAGTGGAAAAAAATCATNTTTCTTTATTTTCATGGAAAACGAATTCTTATGGGTTTAGTGGATTTTTATTTTTCAACTAACATGGAATTGAAATTCTGTTCCATCTTTACATATCAAACTTATGGCAATTTCCTATAATCCCCTCTCATCCTATTTGGAAGATTCACTTAATTTTGGGATGATATTAACAAGGTTATTAATTTGGTAACTGATTCTATGAAATCTAATCGTAGTTTAATTTGTTAAACTTAGGACAATATTTGATACTGTTTTAGGAGAATTTTTGCAATACTTCTTCAACGAAAATATGGTTTATTTATTTATTTATTTTTTTAATTTAATTTAATTTTTAATCCGACGCAAACGTGATTTGACCTAGTTACAAAGCAACTGAGCGTGGATGAATTGTCAAAAAACTTGATTCCCGTTAAGTGTTTCAAAAGTGTAGAATAAAAATTGGAGAGTATTTAGACTACCATGGAGGAAATCTTATCTGTAGTGGTAAGTTTTCTTAATCTTTGATTTAAAAGTTTATTTTTTTTATATAAAATAACCAGTTTCATAGTAATAATCAAACAGGACATTAATTATTCCTCACTAATAGTTAATCATATTATAAAGATTTGTCTTAATGACGATATTATAGAGCTCACGACAAACAAAATTACGTCATTACTGATATACTTAAAATCAATTCAGGAGAAGCAAAATTGCATGTCTTCGGAGTTGGAAATTGTTTCTGTCATTATTTTCTTTCTTTCTGTACTCAGTCACGGGATAAACAAGTTACTTTATATCCAAATCAAAACAATGCAAGAGCTGGAACATAGAATCAGGGGCATGTAAAGATTGATTTTTTGATGTTTTTTCTTTCTTATTTGCTTATATCAGAAAGATTCCTCCCTCTCCTTTTTGTGTTAAGGTGTTGATATTTGTAAGACTTTTTGAATGGCATTGTAAAGCTCCTTGTAAGACTTCTTTGAATAAAAATGTAGAGCTCATTAATGATCAAAATAATTCATGGGCTATAAAAACAGAAATATGTGGAAACGTGTGGATGAAGAAGTTCTAGTTTTGGAGGAAGACACTTGAATTCGTGTCATGTTTCTTTTTGAATAATTCTTCTTGTACATCAAGGGTGCCATAATGGTGTCCATAATGGACACATGACACCCCACTATTGGAGTGTGTGCAAGCCCATGATTGAATACACGAAAAAAAAAAAGTTAAAGAAACCATTTCCAACACCTACGTCTTTCACGCTCCTCTTGAATATATTTAAACTTCGAGTTTATGCATTAGTTTGATGAGCTATGAGGTAACTCTATATTGTCATCATTATGATAAGTAATAATAATTCGAACACCTTAACAACTAAAGGGAAATAAGTATTGATTTTTTATATCAAAAATAAACTTAAAAAAAAAAAAAGCTTACCAGTGCAGATAAGAGTGCCACCCTTATTTTCTAAATTAAAATATGTGGAGGGACAACTTCAAATTTATGCTTTAGCATCTTCAGTGATATGCTATTTTTAGAGATCAACTAGCTCATCAGCCTCTCCTAGTTTACATTGAGATGATCTATACAAATTGCTTCTATAGTAGCACAGAACTTGATATCACTCGATTCAATGACCTATTATACGGAACGTACTTTTATAAAGTAAAGACAACACTAGGGGTCTCCAAATTTGAAGAAGGTATTGTTAAAAAGTAAAGATAATTTTTGGATTTATGTGTAAAGTTATTTTATTGCGAGAATGTGTGAATGATAGGATGAGAGTGAAAAATATTTAATGAGGCCAAACATGAGCTAAATTTGGAGCGTGAGAACGCTCGCCAGCTTTATCCACAATTTCAAAGACAAGTGTCAGCTAAAATCGACACATCGATTGAATGAAAGATAAAAAGAACGCCATGGGTTGGCTGTACTACTAACCAAGTTCAGTAATTCCCAGATGTGGATTCTACGCTGAGATTTAGGGAAAATATGGGGATAGGAGAAGTCTGCATGCAAAGGTAACATGGGTTTCTAAGACATCACGTGACATGGTTCATTCTATTGGATAAATGGCCATTTCGACCTCATCCTTACATGGTATTTTTGATGTTTCAGTTGTCAGATTCTCAGACAAAGTTTGACAGTAACTCTCATGTGTCCTTGTTTATAATTAGTTTTTCTTTTTCGAGAAGCGAGAAAGGATTGTGTATGTGGCTTCTTACACTAGACACGTGGCCTTCATCTTCTACCTTGTTGGCACCAAGTTGATGCTGTGAAGTTTTAGAAGATATAGCAGAAGCACCAGAGAAGGGGACAAAGATGGGAGTAAATAATAACATGTCATATCTATATCCCCCCGTTTTTATGCTAAAATAAATTTTATAATAGTAATTTTTTGAAGAATGTATGGTTAAAAAGTAATAAAAAATTTTGGATTTATGTGCAAATTATTTTATTAGTAAAATGCGTGTTTGAAAATGAGTATGAGAAAAAAATAAATTTTGCATAATATAGCTCAAACATGGGCATAATATTTCAAATATTTAATTAAAAGAATACGTGAATGAAAATGAAATAAGGGAAAAATGAGTATTAAAAAATGAAATTCAAAAAGGGGCTAAGTTTCATACTTCGAGAATACTAGAATATTTTCTCGTTTGGGAGATATGTGGTCGTTTGATTTCTCGCAAGTGAACGAGGTCGTGATCAAGTAATATAGTAGTGTGTAAAGTGTCAAACTCACGAGAACTACGTGTTTGATCGAGTTAAAATTAATAATACTCTTAATCTAATAGTAATAATATTTTATAATAAATCATGTCTAATTTATCACGTAATATAAATCAAAATATAAGTTTACCAAATTTTTGAGATGCATTGCTAAGATATAAAATCTTCCTTGTTCATCCACTTTTAGTTTAACAATTAAATTGATAATTTGTTATCATGCGAGTTGGTTGACGTTCCAATTTATTTAAAAGTTTCTCTCAATAGCAATTAAATATATTCTCCTTATGTGACCTTCCTATCTCTCAATAAAAATACGAACATGATAACCGCATTAAGGAGTTAGAACATCATTATAAACCATGCAAAGCATAGAGGTATATCTCTATCCTCTATCGAATCTCACAATGTTTATTACTATGTGCTAACGATCCTATTACCTCTCTTGATAATAATAAAATTCACAAGCAATTCAACTAGTGGCCAATTAATTGAAAAGCAAATTAAACCATAATAAA